AACTAAAAGGAATATGTTTCAGAAGATGGGCGTTTTTCAGGTTTCCCTAAAGATTAGGGGTTCTACAGACAAATCCCAAATCTATGAACTACGAAGGTAAAGATCGAGGGCACAGATCTGGGGCAGATACAAAAAGAGAAAACAAAGACGAAGTTTCAGATTCAAGAACAGAGGTATAGTTCTCAGAAACAATAGAGATACAGAGAGAATCAAGAACAGTGGCAAAGAGAATGGTGAAAAAGTATAGAAGTCAAGGTATAACCACAAATTCAAGATACAAATAAAATCCAAGGCTTCGAACAAAATCAGTAATGGCAACAGGCAGACAAAAGCACAGAAAGAGAAATTGACATTGAAGGGAATGAATCTTACCGGAACAAGTGAAGCCGGGGCAATATTCGCCGAGCTCAGAAATTGGTTGCAATAGCAGAGAAGGCTTCGCAAGAATGAGGGATTAAGAGCAGTTCCAGAAGAGAGATTAAAGCGATGGTAAATTCGGAGAAGAAAGAGCTTTCAGAGAGAGAAAGAACAAGAAGACAGAATGAAAAAGTGAAAGGAAAAGAAGAGGCAAAAAAAGAGTTTTGTCAAAAATTTTTGAAACGGCGGCAAAAATAGGGCAATTATTGCACCTAGAGCAACGCACGCGTCAGACGGCGCAGACGAACGAACAGACAGCTTCCAGGCGCGTCACAGACACGCTCCAATGAGAACAAAACACGTGAAAAGGAACGGTTAGATATGCATGACAGCTCATGCGCGTGGGAGAGTACGACCAAAGCCTTGTTCTCCGAAGAGAACACGTCGGCTGAAAGTAGATAATCTTGGCTAATCAGTTTTCAAACCATTACTCAGAAAAGAGGTGACAAAATATCGGAATAGGTTCCATCACCTCAAAATGCCGAGGTAATAGAACCTAGGGGGCAGTTGTGGGGATATATTTTCTGAATACCAACACGTGGTGTCACGACCCAAACCCGGCCCTATGGGTTTAGCACCGTAACCGGCCAGTAATTCGAGATTACCGAAGGCCTGCCTAACAGTAATCTAGTAAAACAGAGTACAGGGCCTGGCGGAAGCCAATACAGTAAATAAACAATGTCCAATGAGCTGTGACAGTCTACACATACAAGTACAATCATTCAGAACAGGGATCTAATCCCTAATAAACGGTATAGTAATAGTCTATACAGTCTATACAGTAAACAAAACAGTTACAGGGACAGACGGGGAATATTAAAACACCCCAAAGCCGAAGCTTGAACGGCTTAGAACCTCACAGTGAGGCACAGTGGTTGGCTGACAAAACAAAAGCTTGCCTGACGCTCCTAACAGCGGTCCAGTGCCTGAACACCTACATATATATATATGAGCAGTGAGCTAAAACCCAGTGAATAACATAATACTCTTTGAGGTTTCTCCACTTCTCTTTTGGGATTCTACACTTGAGGTAAGGATATTTTACACTTTGTTATGATCTTTAACCTAGTTATTTGTTGTAATGTATAAATGGTGAGTTTTGGAATGTTTGGAGAAAACTTAGGGTTTAGATTCAAATTGAAAAGAGGAATTTCTATGTTGTGTTCTATAAATGAATATGGGGTCTTGAGTATGAGGTTATCTTGGGTTAGAATGGTAGATTTTAACCATTGGATTGATGTTCGAAAAAGAGGGAAATTTGCCCTAACATACCTTGAATAATTATTTTGTATAAATAATGAAATTGATGTGAGAAATGTGAAATTGGGGATAAGTATAAATGAATGGTGTAGTTTGATTTGTTTAATCACTCACCCATGGAAATTTGATGAATTATCTGTTATAAAGATTGTATATCTGTTTAGAAATATCTGTATTGGGCTAGCGGTGGATGATAGCTTTGATTGTTGTAGAAATCACATGTGGATTAGGTGAATTGAAACTAGCCCATGGTTGATTATCATTGAATATGATCCTGTTGAAAATACATTGTATATGTATGATTATTTAGCAGGAAAAAGGGGATGCACTCTATATGTGTGATTATGTTTTTAAAAACATTACATATGCATGATTGTTTGGGAGGAGAAAGGGGATGGACTCTATTATAATTAAGTTGGCCAGAGTGTCCTGGGTGAAAGTCCTGAAATTATACATGGATGCCTAGTCCACGAACGAAATATCCGTAAAATGGCAATTGTAGTGCTTGTATAGTCTACATTTACATGGGTCCCGTTTGACAGCTGCCCGCGAACGAAATATCCGTGAAATGGAAGTTTGAAGTGTTTATGTGTATGTGTTGTATGATTTGAAAACCATTGAGTTGTAGCCTCAGTTTGGTTGTTGAGAAATAATGACATTGACTCATGAATTGAGAAAGATAAATGAACGGAATATGAATTGAAGGAAAATAGATTAAGATATGAATTTGGTATCTTTCGAATATACATATTTGTGAATGTTTTATCCTAAGGCATTGTATATGCACTTTATACTTATATCTCTGCTAAACCTCATATATTATGTTAGATGATTTCTATTGGGCTGTGGCTCACCCTATTTGGGAAAAACATTTTCAGGTAATGATGGCATGCCTCCACCAAGGCAATAGCATAGGAGGAACCTTTGGGAAGCAAGAGCTACTGGTTTTTTTCTATTTTGTATAGCCTAGGGCTAAATCTGTATGAGCTAGTCTCCTTTTGTTGTAACCAAGCCAAGGCTTAGAAAGGTGAAAGCCCAAAGGGCATTTATAAATGTTAAACTCTTTTGTGTTATTATGTTCATATAATGAAAGGACTTTATACTCTGATTGATGTAATTGTTAATTACGCTTTGGATCATGTTTATTGTATCTTTTTTAGGGCGTTACATAGGATCTTTAAACTCCTCAATTAGTGCATAGGCACATTCTAGCACTCACAAATCTTAGACTTAAGATGTCCCCTAACTCTTAGTAATATGCAAGTATTTCTCTTTTTAAGTTTGTTTTATCAAGGCATTCACTTCTAAATTTCTTGCTAATTGTATTAATCTTCCAAGTTTTCCATCTTATCAATTCATATTTATTTCTCTAAAGTATTGTAAAGTTATTAGATTAAGGTAAATATTTCATCATGTCAAGTAAAATACTTTTGATGTAATACATAGTTGCTTGCTACGCTCAAGAGGTGGCTAGTTTTTAAAAATTAAGGGAGAATTATAGGCATGAAATGAATGTCAAATAACATAAAATGATACTCATGTCCGGTCTTTAATTTTTATTATTGTCTACCTTATTTGTTATACTTATTCGCCATGGATATGTGTAAAATAAACGATTCGATTATATTACTATATATCAAACCAAAATGTGATATACACATCTAAATAAATGATTGTACTTCTAATCTAGACAACAATCGAATCAAGTATTCCCAACCTAGTGACAAAAACATGTTTCTAATTTCATCAGTTTAGTGTCATGTACATAGATTGGAAACTTGGAACTTGTTAATGGTTTAAATGACCCCTACATTCTAGATACCATCCATAGCATTAACATCAATTTTCTGGGGCAATTTCAACATTAGATATGATTGGTGTCTCACCTGCAAGAACCATCCATAGCATCAAAGGACCCTCTTTTGTTGTCTAAAATATGTTGTAGCACCATATCAGCAAAATATTCAACCAAAATATATTATATTCACCCCTCCAAAAAAATAAAAAAATAATAAATAAAAAAACATATCAGCTAAAAAAAGAAAAAAAAAGAAGAGAAATCAACAACTAAGAAATCAAATAAACATATACAAAACCGTTGGCTTAGTCTCAATCAATGAACAACAAGCAACATACACGATATTTTTTTTTTTTGGGTGAATAAGAAATAAATAAAAGACAAAGGATTTACAAGATTACAAAGGGCATGCCCCAGGCCCTAGCAACAAGACAAAACACGAACCTCGGCAACAGAACACCGACGCCCAACCACAAGAACAAAAGAAAAACCGAGAAAAGCTACAACCAAAGAACAGGGGTCAAAGGGTGGTTACAAGCCAACTGATTGTACAAAGGCCATATCTTGTAATAGATAGGGTCCTTGTACAATAATAATAAGCAGCAGCCAAACTTTGACCAGCACAAACCAAAAATACCCAGGCTTCTAGGATCCTTCCTACGCAACCCGTAGGAATAGGTTCCTATACCTCTAACGTACCAAACTAGAATCCTACCAGGAGCCTTACGGGAGAAACAACCCATAATATCATCCTTGTAGGAATGCCTATAGTGCAGCATAGTTAACCGCACATAATCCCACCTACACAGCCCGTAGGGGTAGGCAAAATTACACAAAATAACAATGTACACACCATAAAAAGGACTACTTTTCTCTTTCATGTAACACAGCAAGGCGCTTGAAGCAGCCATCACCACATTACAAATACTCTCTTCAAATTGCCATCTGGAACTGCACAATAAGCAACGACCATCCCTAAAGCCGTGACCTGCCACTTGGAGGAAACACAAAACACTGCTGCGTCTCCCAGACTGGCGCAGATAGTAGCCACAACTCCTCCACCTGTACTTTGTAAAGTGATCCTGGACCATATCCAGCAACATGTGAAAAAGTAGACTCCGACACATATCAAAAAGAAGCAAAAACAGAACAAACTTTGTATAGGATCTCACAACACTCGGCCCACACTCAGAAATGTCTCTCATCTCCATATAGTATCTTATCTCACTCAACCCACAACTCATATATTTATGTACCATCTGAGACAGTAACAAAACATTGAGCGCATTCCTAACCTACAAAAAAGAAATGAGATAACATATCTGAAGAGAGATTAGAAAATCAATTTTGGTAAATCTCGCATCTCTCAACCCACTGATATAGTGAATGATATACTGACTCACTTCACCCAACCCACAATGATACTTTCCAGCTCCAGTCCTTGTGTTTATCAGCATCAAATACTTGACAACACGAGAACCTGCACTAGAACAAACTATTAGAAAACCCACTGTATTTGCTTCCATCACTCAACCCTCAATATTGGTGCACTCACATCTCTCATGTCTCTCCCAACATTTGAATGTGGGGCCAACTTCATAATGGTGGAAGGCAGGTTCCATTGCAACAAGTACCAGCTATCACCTGTAGAATTTAACACATTATTCATGGAAATTAACCAACCTCTCACCATTTGGATAATATGCTTAGTGACCACCTCAGCAGGGGCATTGGTCTCGCTAAAGACTCTACCATTCCTCTCAATCCAAATATGATACACCGTGCACATAAAGGACAACTTCACAATGACAGGCTTTAGAGACCTCCCCTTAGTAGATTTAACAGCAAGTTCGACATACTCTAACCAGGTTAGGTAAGGCCACCTGACATTACACTTATTCTGAATAGCAACCCAGATCTTAGAGGAGAAAGCACATCTAAAAAATAGATGGGAATGGCTTTCCTCAGGATCATTACACAACGGACAACTAGCATGAGGAATAAGGCCAAAACCCTAAAGTCTATCCCTAGTATTCAACCTCTCATGTATAGCCAACCAAACAATGAAACTAACTCTAGGGATGAAAGGAGGCCCCCAAAGCAGTTTATTCCAAGGGACTTTACGACCCTTATCTCTCCAACAGTCCCAAGTAAACTGAATAGAGAAACTGCCATCACCATCACCCGTAAGGCACCACAAAGGACTATCCTGAGAACTATCCATCGGTTTAAAGGAAGGAGGGGTAGAATCAATCCACTCCTTGATTTCCCAGGAGTTAGGGAAGGGCCAACTCCATGCACCATGAGAAATGATGGAGCTAACTTTAGAATTAAGATCAAGACCAGCGTCATAGACAATCCTAGGCCCAAACCTACTCCACAACGAACCAAGAGGATGCCAATTATCAAACCACAGAGACACTTTCTCTCCACTACCAATCTTAAACTTGATGAGCGGGAAAATAATGTTCCTCAATTGCAAAATCTTCCTCCAAACCCAAGAAGGGTCACTAGGAATTTTGACGTACCAGAAACTCCTGCCTTTGAGTAAGTAAGACTTAACCCATTGGCACCACATAGATCCCTCACCCCCCGAGAAAAGGAACCAAACATGCTTGGCTATAGAAGCCTTGTTCCAAACGCCCATATCCTTGAACCCCAAGCCCCCCTCATTCTTAGGTTTACCAATGGAACTCCAAGCAATTTTAGCACCATGCTTTTTCATATCAGTACCAGACCAAAGGAAGGATCTAAGCAGACTCTCAATTTCCCTAATAACCTTTCTAGGAAGGATAAAAAGGGAGGACCAATACACTTTGCATCGAGAAGAGTATAGTCTGAATGAGTTGAGCTCGACCCGCATAAGAAAGGAGCTTGTTAGTCCAACATACACGATCTTTTTAAGCACACAAAATACCAAACACATAAAGGGCACCATACCTCAATCCTTGGAATTGTAACTCTACTCTTTTCATAACAGTGTCGTGCTTATCAAGGGTAGGAAAACAAACATTAAAAATTAAAAAAAAGAAAGAAAGCAAAACAGAAAAAAGAGGATGCTTCTTACCTAAAAGTAAATATAGTCCTTCCAACACAAAAAGCATCACCTATTCACACCAACATAAGAGAAAACATAGAACAATTTAGAAGAGATTAAAAAAATACACCCAAATACCATATAATACATCCTTAAAAAAAAAAACTACAGGGAAGAAACATATAAGAAAAAGCTTAAGAAATTAAAAGAGAGCATTTCTTACCTGAATAGAAGAAAAGTATTCACAAAAAATTATAAGAAAATAAGAAACATGAATCACATTTATTAATAAGAGTATGAGCCAAGAATCACAATGGAATGGAAACACCCACAGAATGACCATGGAAAAATTAACCACTAAATCCACTAAATTAACAAATATGTGTTGCTAAGCAGACAACCGAATGTCAAACAGTGAGGAAAAAGAAGAAAATACTATGATAATCAAATGTAGATATGAGGTGCATTAAAGACTTCAAAATGTATTTAATGTTTCCAAAGATATGTAATGTTTTTGACTGAAAGGTCAAAGGTTTTCTTCATCTATTTGCTTCCCTCAATCATTTTCAATGCTGGGTAACATCTCTTTCTCTTTCTCTTTCCTCTGTATAGATATATACATAGAGGAAGGAAGCTCCTCAAGCCTCAAAAGTTGAAAGAAAACCTTCATGAGAGGGAATGGAATCTCTCTCTCTCTCTCTCTATATATATATATATATATGTATATATTGGGATGCATCAGCAACCACCTCAAGTGCAACCAGCATTCCCCAAATTTGAAAAACAATTTTTAAAAAATAGAACACCAAAAACAGAATAAGAAAAATACAGAAATAGAAAGCAAAGAATGAATTGAACCCCCAATCCAAACCAAAAACCAAACCCATCTAAACATACTCACATATATGCAAACTCCATAACCAAAAACCCAAACCCAGAACCCAAAATTAGAAATTGAAGGGCTAATCATGTGCAGCCCAAAGAGCAACAATCAAGCAATAGAAAGAAACAAGAAACACACCCAATTGCTGCAGAACATCACTACCTTAGGCACCTTCTGACCCGTTGGAGATTGAATACAAAATCATTACATAGTAAAAATTGTTATATGAGTGAGTTTTCCACCAGAGAGCTATTCTAACTATAATAAGCACACAAAGATCAAAGGCATTAGGTTGAGAATTGTTGAATATGCATACATATCTTTGCTAATATTAAAAACAAATGGCAACTAAATTATTATATATAGATGGAATTTAATTAAAAATAATATCTCTTTATCTCATTTCTTTCTACTACCATTATACTATTTAGCTTCTAAATTGAAAAATCAAATTTAATTAAAAATAATAAGCTTACAAAGATTAATAGATTTGGGCTTTTGGACGATTCAATGTCTTGTCTTTGTCTTAGGATTTGAATTTCGACTCCAACGGAGGATCTATAGGGACAGAGGCAGGTAAATCCTCTGAGGCAGCAGCAGCAGTGCGTGGAGCAGGCATTGGTTTAGACGGAGGCCCAGAACGGTGAAAGTTGTTGCGGGAAAAATGCCCGGGGGAAGGA